AGGTAAGAAACTGTTCACCCAAAAAGAGTTAAAAATTTTTAGACTGTTTTTTGTAACCATTCAAAATTGCAAGAGTTGAAATTAAAATTTAATAGTTCTTCTTCTCATGACAAATATAATGTCAAAATTTCTGAGGGTAAACAAATTGATTTAGAAATCAATAAAATGTTTCATATCAAATATTTCTAAATAATGATGAAACTATGTTGCAGTATATGCATACAGTTTTTGAGTGATCACCTTGTATCTAGCTTGGATACTACCACAGGCATACATCAGTTACCAGTGGACAGAAATATCTGATATATGTGAAGGCAGAGATTTGAGGCCATCATCTGTAGCCTTCCAGGATCTCCCTTCCCCCCTTCCTCCAAGCTGTCAGCACCTTTGGCTGTGCATGGTTTTCTTGGACATCTCAAACAATCTCTTCTGGCAGCTTCATGGGAGGGTGATATGCTCTACAGATAGCTAATAAATCTGTGGGAGAGGGGGAAGCAGGCTTCCCAAGCAGGCAACTCCTTGGCTATGCTCAGTGTCTTACAGAGGAGCGGTAGGTGTGGGATGTAACTCGTCAGTCGCCTTCTCCAGGGGAGGGAGATGGACACAAGGAGTCCCAAACCAGGTTGCTCACAACCAGACATCACAATCCTGGAAGCTCCAGCCATCCCTGGCTGTGCCTGGTTGCCTTGAAGGCTGAAGATGTCCACTTTGTCTTTAGACTTTAATGGGTCTATTGTCTGTACACCACTGTTTTATTGCATCCTGGTGGAAAGCTCTAGTCTAGTGATTGGCTTGTTTAGAAAGGAGAGAAGAACGACTCTGTGTACTTTAGGAAGAAACAGCAAAAATAGGTGCATCCTGGTAGGTGTAATTTTGGAAATATGGTCTGTCCTATTCACTGATTAATGAGAGCCTTCTTCTTCTTTCTTTTTTTTTTAAGATTTTATTTATTTATTTGTCAAGGAGACAGAGAGAGTACAAGCAGGGGGAGTGGCAGGCAGAGCAGGCAGAGGGAGAAGCAGGCTCCCCACTGAGCAAGGAACCCGATGTGAGACTTGATCCCAGGACCCTCGGATCATGACCTGAGCTGAAGGCAGATGCTTCACCGACTGAGCCACCCAGGCATCCCTGATGAGAGCATTCTTTTTTTAAAATTTTATTTATTTATTTATTTTTTATTTGACAGAGAGAGAGAGAGCACAAGCAGGGAGAGCGGCAGGCAGAGGCAGAGGGAGAGGGAGAAGCAGGCTTCCCGCTGAGCAGGGAGCCCATGTGGGGCTCAATCCCAGGACCCCGGGATCATGACCTGAGCTGAAGGCAGACACTTAACTGTCTGAGCCACCCAGGTGCCCCCCTGATGAGAGCATTCTTAATCTAAAGTGTATCAGTACAGGATTCTGCATTGGAAATTAGATGAATGGCTTTGTGTGTGAATGGCTTGAAAGGAAGTTGGAAACTTGGATTATTTTTCTACTTCTGCTTAGCTAACTGTGATCACCTTTACTATGTTTTACCTTCCACCTTTCTTTGCTCATGCATTTCTCTCTGTATTCTGCATTATTGCCTCTCATATAGGTATTTCTAATTAGAGAATTTGAAGTTATTTCAAATGCCATTTTTCCACTTGAGTCTCTTCTGATTCCTCCTACCAGATAGTATGTTTCCTTCCTTTGAGAGGAAACATTTAATATTGTAATTTTCTTTTGGTATGTATCATATTCTTTCTTGGACTACGGTTTATGTCTGTCTTTATCTTATTTCATCCTTCTTGTTTACAAGGTCTTCTCTGTATATCTTGCAACTTTTAGAGTGGTGAACTAATTGTAGTTTATCTGATTTGAGGGTGCAGCAAAACAAAATTTTAAGCAAAAAAAATTTGTCCACCATAATTAGCCAGCACATAGAAACTATTTTGCTTAACCCTCTTTAAGGAAGAAACTTGAGAAGTTTGGACTAAAAACGGAAAAGCTGACTTCACTTTCACAGATGGCACACCTGTAGTACATAAAAAAACAGGTTTCAAGTGTGTATTCAATTCTGAAAAAAATGTTCTGCCTTCTCTTGCATCATTCAGCAGAGAATCTGTGTTGCAAATTTTGCAGTCGGGTCCATGAAATGATGTAATGGAGGAATTGATTGTAACTCAGTGTTCTTCTTCATTGTACCATTAGTAACCATCACCAGTTTATTGGTTATTTGGAATATATTAATCCCAAATATGCGACTTAGTTCATTTTAATACGGCCATGTGACTAGATTGTGGAGACTTACTAGAGTAACTGAGCTGCTTCTTCAGATCCAGGGCTTAAAAAAATTTTTTTTTAAATAAAGGGTTTTGAGAATAAAGGTTTTATTAAGATCCTTAACAAATAAGGATAAATAAATAATAAGTCCAGGGTTGAATAAGATTCTCATTATGACAAGATGTCTGAATACATTGGACCAGAAACTTCAGTGGGAAGGTAATTAATGCTCATTTGTTTAGAGAAGTGCAGGCCTTCCCGTTAAAGTGCAACAGGAGGACAGAGCAAATGGCACTTGGAGACCATGCTTTTTTCTTTAAAGATTTTATTTATTTATTTGAGAGAGAGAGAGAGAGAGAGAACAAGAACAAGCGGGGGTGGGGGGCAGAGGGAGAAGCAGACTCCCCGCTGAGCAGGGAGCCCAACATGGGTCTCGATACCAGGACCCTGAGATCATGACCTGAACTGAAGGCAGACGCTCAACCAACTGAGCCACCCAGGCGCCCCTCATGCTTATTTCTATCGTAGAACCTCCCTAATAGCAGCAGAAGTGCTGATATTTCAGATGGGGAGGAAGTAAGATACAACTTCAGAAGAGAAATCCAGATTTTGATGTTTTTGAATACTTTGAGTTTCTGTAGTTGTTAATGGAAACCCGATGGTGTGACTGAATGCCAAGGAAATGCCCTACAGGGTGGCTTGGTTTCAGGGAGACCTGAGGTTACTGAAAGCAAACTGCTCACCAGGGTGTCGGGGCACTGCTGCTTGATGAAGGTTTGTGGATCAGAGCTGCCTGAGACTCTTCGTCCTTGCTGAGATGAGTTCAGAAATAGAGAGAAAACGCTTAGAAACTTTATGGTGCTTTGACAGTATGCTTGTATCTATTGAATTTAGTAAAAAACAATTGGCCTTTTGTATTATGTGTATCTTTTATTTCATTTTCTAGTTAATTCATTCTTACTGTATTTTACAAGTTATTTGTCTGAAACTTAGGGACTAGGGAAAAAACACAACAAAACAGTTACTTCATCACAGAGAGTTTAGAAATCACTGAGTTACAGTCTCTGAGAAGGGTGAGGCATCAGGAAATGAATATATGAATTTGAGGATTATCTAGAAGTTTCTGGCTATGTGGCTGGCCAAATTCTAAGCATTATGTAGGTCCATCTGACTCTGTGAAATATACATTCTCTTTTAGAGGTGAAATTTAAAAATACAGTGCTATTTTAGAAAAATTAACAAGGGACTGTACTCTACCACTGTTATTAATTAAAAATACTCACACTCCCCAACTGAGGATTTTTGATCAGGAGCCCAGTAGTGCAAAGTCTGGCCACCCTTATTGTAGCACAGTGCCTTCTTCCATCTGGGAGCTCCTAAAAATATTTATTGAATTCAATTGATTTCTCCTAAGAGTTAGCAGAAAGTAGGTAGTTCACTAAATAAAGTCCAGAAAATTAAAGTCATTTTGAAAGGTAAAATTTGAGAGCTTATTAGCTGTAGAGAGCCTTCACCAAATGTTATCTGCTTTGTTCTGCTTTATTTGATCTTTGTGAGTCAGAATATATTCTTTGAGACTATATTACTGAGGCAGTACTATGAATGCAGAAGATTTATGAGATCCTAAGTTGTTTGTTGTTCTAATCAACTGAGATTTTTAGTAAACTAAATTCTTAGTTTGTCGTTGTTTTAAAAGCTCATAGATTTTCAGTAAGTTCCTTGATAGACATCCTGTGTGGTTGTTTATCACTCTATTCCAATTGCACTACAGATACTTAAAGAAATTACCCTGAAAAATGTATTTTCCAAGTTAATATGCTGCAGTATCTTCCTTTTACTGCAACACTATACTCAACAAAATTTTTAAATTGACCAATATAAGAAGAAAATAATCAGCCATATGGAAATAATAGCATTGTGACATATTGTCAACTTTCATGTTAGATTTGCGAAGTGGAAATATAATTATGAAAAACAAAATAAACACATGTTATATATAACAGAATATGCCATGATGTGCTTTTGACACAATGGAAACAATTGCTAATAAAATAAGGTGTTTTATTTGGAAGAGACAATTTGTTCTTGGCAGTGGTTTTCCAATTTTGCCAATTTTAAAAGCGACTATGTTGGTGGGTGAGATAGTTATGGAAAAAATATATACAGTATTTATGCTTAGAACATATGCATTGTCAAATTTTCTTCATGCAAAAGTTAAGCAGGACTCAAATTACTAAAGCTATCTCATTCTGAGGAGGAAGCAGTAGAATATTTTCTTTCCTTAGTTTATCACTTCCATGGGGCAATTTTAAAAATATGCATTCTGAATTTCATTTTAACTCCAAACACCAGTTCTATCTTTATTGATTCTGCCATTATTTTTATGAAATATGTATAATATAAATATAAATAATATATACATAAATGTATGAAAATAAGTCTGTGGGAAATTTACCATGTGTGATGGTTTGTACCACATTTCGTTTAAGTACTGTGCTGTATTTTTCATGTGTTCTGTTTTCCAGTTAGGCATGCTAGCGAAATCTTCTAAGAGGATGCTCCGTTCTATTTTGTTATTTCTTCCTTCCAGAGATTGTAGCACTGTGTTCTGTTTATAGCAAGGATTCGATGTTGACAGACTGAAAAAGATCTGAAGATCTACCTTATAATGTATTGATAAGCAAAATTAGAGAATAATATTGGCATGTTTTAAAACATCTTAGTATAAGCATAATATTGTGTTTTATGTTTTTGCAGGAAGATTCTTTGGCAACAGATGATTTCCTTGTGGACTACTTTAATGAATTCCTAAGCCTTCCAGTGAGTGTATTATTATGTTCTATGGAATTTATTATCAAAGCAAAATATTGTAATCACTGGATTATCTTGTAAGACAAATTTATCAGGGATATTTTTAAAAACTATTAATTAAAGCATTTAGGTAAAGTTTATATCTTTTTATGGACTTAATCATTTGAGTTTGAATCATATTTAGGAATTATTGAAGATAGCTGAGTCAGTTGTACCACAATAAAAATGAATGAATGAATGGATGGATAAGAAAGGTGGAATTTTTCTTTTTTTTTTTTAAAGATTTTATTTATTTATTTGAGAGAGAGAATGAGATAGAGAGAGCATGAGAGGGAGGAGGGTCAGAGGGAGAAGCAGACTCCCTGCCGAGCAGGAAGCCCGATGCGGGACTCGATCCCGGGACTCCAG